CTATTAGATAAAATGACGTTTTTGTCCCTCTCTATAAGGGTGGATGGATGACAATTGTAATGGAGGACCAAATTTGGTATACTTTTACAAATTAATAGACTAAATTGGATCATTTTAATAATATGGGACTAAATTGCACATGAATAATCGAGGAACCAAAATAGGTAATAACACTGTTGTCAAATTAAATAACGCAATTAGCTATTGACTAACCACTAATACAACTTACAACCCTTAACAATTACAGTAATTTTTAAATAATTCAAAATCTTTAAGATTTAGACACAACAATCTACTCAGTGTATTGTCACATGTTATATGTTGGTTCCCACAAACTTTAGTTTAATATTAAATTGACTTTAAGTGAGAAGGAATCAACTTCTGTATAGCAAAAATGATTCGGAGTATACATAAAGCAATTGAGTAATTAATGACTTTTGTAGTTCCAAAACATTGAATTATTATATGAGAAAATTTATTTAAGATTTGATTTCTCGTAACATATCAGAAATAAATTTTGATTTCTGTCCCGAACATCAAAAGTGTAAGATAAATTTTTTGTGAGTAGAAATGTATAATTTAGTTCCTCTAAAAAAAAGAAATGTATAATTTAGTATTAAATTTTGAAATTAGATTAATTTATTTTACTTATGAATTTATGAGAAAATTATAGTTCTGTAAAGAAAAATGCTATGTGTATTTCTATTTTCTACTCTCAATTTTTACTCTCACACATAATACGTTGATGTAGACACTTGTATTACTGGTATTAGGATCTACATGAAAAAAGTAACTTATCAAAATCGGCCATATCAGGGAATAAATTTGAAGTTGTAAGATATGCGAGTACATGTAGTAAAACTCTTTTGTAAAACTGAAAAATCAAAATTTTAGAGGCCATTCAAAATATAGTCATGTAAAACTGATAAATAGGCCATCTCCAAGGGGCACGCCATTGCGCCAAACTGGTGAAAAAAATGGCGTGCCCCTGCTCCAATTGAGCGCTATCCCACCATAAATTTGGCGCAGCATGAACAGTGCAGCGCCAAATATGGCGCTGTACTGTTCATCTGCGCCAAATTTGGTGGAGTATTTTTCTTCCAATTTTGTCCTTTCCTTTTATTCTTATTCCTTTTATGTCCTGATTTAATTTTAATATAATTATATACTTTGTTAGATTATTAAATATAAATTTTATATTATTAAAAATAAAGTATATCATTTGAAAGATCTTATCAACACGATTAAAACAAGACTAATATTGAACATAAATTAATTAAAATTAAAATTACATAACCAGGACTATGTGGTCTAATAGTATCCGGGTTGGACTTCCATTTGGAAGATTATAAGTTCGAGCCTCAGTGGGGGCGTTATTGGTTTTTTGTGTTTCAGTAGGTTGAGAAAGTATATGTGTTTCAGTAGGTTGAGAAAGTATATGAACAGATACTACAATGTAATAGAGCCAGTAACTTTCAAAAAAAATTAAAATTACATAAATATAATTTTAATACGTATATAAAGTTATAATATTTATAATATTTGCATTATAAGTATATTTTATATTAAAATATATAAAGTTATAATACAAAGTCTTAATTTATGAGAAAATAAATCATTTTAATGAAAGAAAAAAATTTGGTGTAAATGGATTGGAGATGAAAAAAATTTGGCGTAGGAATATGCTGGGAATATTCCTTTTGGTGTAAAATTTAGTGTTTTGGGTTGGAGATGGTCTAAGGGGTGTATTCAGTCAAGAATATTATAGACTTTTAAAGAGTCTTAAAAATGATAAATTTTAAATGATTTTCATAAAATCTTTTCATACTTTCTTAAAATCTTTTAGACTTTTCATTAGCTTTGTATAATTGTATGAGTCTATAAAAATCTATATATATATTTATTTATTTTAAATTATCTCCCCTCATTATGAAGAATAACAAATTATAAATAAATAAATAAATAAATATATACCAGGACTATGTGGTCTAATGGTATCCGGGTTGGACTTCCATTTGGAAGGTTGTGAGTTCAAGCCTCAGTGGATATATGAACAGATACTACAATGTAATAGAGCTAGTAGCATTCAAAATATATATATATATATATATATATATATATATATATATATATATATATATATAGAGGGGTGATCACATGTGGCCATGTTGTTAGGTGTGGTCATATGGTCAATTATAGGCCATTAGATTAGATAGATCCAATGAATCATATTAATCAAGATTTTTTCAGTATTTTCGCGCATATTCTCCTACCTAGTGAACTGCAAGGGTAAACTCGTCATAAAATACTAGAATAGGGAAAATCACATTGTTGTGTGTTTTATTACACTATTGGTGTATTCTGGAACCCGACCGCTATAAATGGCCACTGTAATTACCATAACACGGGAATACACCATTGGTGTGTTTTACTGTGGTGTGTTTTATTACACTATTGGTGTATGTTGTCAATACTGTTGGTGTATTCTGGAATCCGCCCGCTATAAATGGCCACTGTAATTACCATAACACCCCCACTTACCAAAACGCGCGAAAATCCTCAGAATTACCACTGCCGTTAGATTAAACTGATTCAACGACACAGATACGACCACACGACCACACCTAATGACATGACCACATATGAGCGCTCTTTTATATATATATATATATATATATATATATATATATATATATATATATATATATATATATATATATATATATATATATATATATATATATATATAAAAGAGCGTCTTTTAACTTGCTCCAGAACAGATAAATACATAAATGGATAAATTTTTCCTTCCAAATGCTCTGTCGGGCCGGGGTGTGGGGGGCCCTTAGGGTTGGGGTTCAGCCTTTTGGAAGAATGAATGGATGAATTTTATACCTTCTCAATCACTTGAAAAAAAAAACCTTATCCCCTAAATTAGATTTTTTTTTTTTTTTTTGAATGCTACTAGCTCTATTACATTGTAGTATATGTTCATATACTTTCTCAACCTACTGAAACACAAAGAGCTAATAACGCCTCCACTGAGGCTTGAGCTCACAACCTTCCTAATGGAAGTCCAACCCGGGTACCATTGGACCACATAGTCCTGGTCCCCTAAATTAGATTTACTTTCCTTAATATTTAATGGAATTAGATTTTTAGATGACCCAAACTTTCTTTAAGTCAAAGATTACACCAAACGGGTGAATTATTTTTACACATCTTAAATTCTCAAGAAAATTTGATCTTCGATATCAAACGCCCTCTAAATTCAAATTGTTAAGTTAGCGCAAGTGATAAAATTAGCACATATACTAATTCTAACTAAAAATATGAACTCATTAAACATTATAAATAAGTCTGATAAGTACGACAAATCAACTATTATAAGATATAAAATGTACCTACAAGAAACAGTAGCAACATCTAGCTAGTTGTTGTTTGCAACAATAATAAAATTTTTATTATGATTTTTATAGATATGTCTAAAAAAAAAAAAGAAATCAAAAGTATATGAGTATTTATTAAAGTTTTGAAACGTACTGTAAAATTTCATAGGAATAGATGAAAAAGTTTGTTTGGTTTATGCATAGAAAAAAAGTTGGTAGATAAAGTTGAAATGTTTGGTGTTGAGGGTTGAATTTTAAATGCTTATATTTGTGAAGAAAAAGTCTACAGAAATTATATTATTATAGAGTTTATAAAAGTTAATTGAATACCAATAAACTTTTAAGGACTCTATAATATCTCGTTTGGTTCGCTGAAAAATATTTGAAAGGAAATAAAATTGAAATTCCATGAAAAATAAATTTTAGAAAAATTGATTCCATTGTTTGACCGGTGAAAAAGAAATTACTAAGAATATGAATTATATTGTTTGATTGGGTTTGGAATGGTAAAGAATAATGAATATAAAGACAATTATACCCTTACATGATAATAACAACAACAACAATAATGATAATTAAGAAAAGTTAGTGATGTCATAATTGTCCTACATGTTTTCCATGAAAAAACAAAATACTAAGAGGGGCCATGGAAAATATTTTCAATGACCAAACAAAGGAAAATCTCAATTTTTCTTAAATTTAATGAAAACATTTTTCAGCGAATCAAATATGCTATAAAAGTGTGAATCAAATAGTAGTATACTTTTAAAGACTTTTTAAAAATATAATATAAATAGAATATCATAAATTTGTAAGGAGTCTTTAAAAATCTTAATCGAATATCAACAAATTTGTTGTTAAAAATTTATAAAATCATTGAATATATCCCTAAATTTTAGGAGATTTAAGATATACTCCGTAGTGTTAAAAAGAAAAAAAGATATACTCCGTAGTTGTGTAAAATTGAAAAACTGAATTATTAATGAGTTTTGTAGGTTTTCAAAAAAAAAAAAAAAGAGTTTTGTAGGTATCGCCGAATAGACACGTTGGGTCTTCTGCAAAGGAGGGCCCGCGCACGTGACACGCCTTTGGATTATAGGCTGTCACTTGATACTTTAGCGGTCTCTTGGCTCATCTACTCTCGGTGTTTTCCAGATCCAGAGAGAGCTTCCATCACTCTCCGGTTGCCGCCGTAGCTTCTATATACTTTCCTCAACTCCACTTCATATATACTGCCACTGAATGTGTATCGAGTTCTGTAGAATCATGTAAGGTCGGCAGTGGCGGTTGCAGTGAGGATGAAGTGAGGTTTGAAGATGGTTTCCGAGTGGTTCCAGCCCATGGCGGGGAGAAGGGTTCCGAGAAAGGTCTGGCTTGGGTCACAAATGTCAATGGGATTACTCGTGGGTGGGAATCACACCTCCTCCAGGTTTTGTACTCGCTAAGTGTTTTCTTTCCACTTCGTTTGGCTTAAATTTCCTTTGATTTTTAATCAAATCCGAGTTTAAAACTCAAGACTGTACTTTAGCTTTAGTTAGTGCACTCGCTTGCTAGATCTCGATCGTGTATTGGAAAGACTCGAGCTTTAATTTGAAGAGAGATAATTGAGAGATGGATTTTAAGGTCTTGAAATGGCAAATTCGTCGTGGGTCATTGATGAGGCGTTTGATCCTCAAAATGCTTATGTTTGGGGCTGGATTGATTGTTATTTCGTTTGTTCAAATGGGCCATGAGGTCCAATTTTCTGAGCCCTGTATGCTTAATGAGAGTGAATGCCCATTGAACTTTGGGCATCTCAGCTTTAATTTCACCCATCTGTTTGGGGTGTTGCCAGTGCCATGCAAAGAGAATGAGGTTTTGGCCAAGAATGTGTTCCAGGAGCTAATGGTGAATAGTTTCTTGGATTCTGATGTGAAGGCACTGTGTGTGGGAGAGGGCTCAGATGCAGCTGTTTTGGCCTTGAGGGAGCTGGGATTCTCTGATGTTTCTGGTGTTAATAGGCACCCCTTTTTCTCCCTCTTCAAGAGGAGATTCGTGTATGAGCTCGAGTTTGGGGATAGTTCTTTTGATTTCGTGTTCTCTAGAGCTCTCGATAGGGTCTCCGTGCCAGCTCTTCTTGTGCTCGAGATTGAGCGTGTTCTGCGTGCTGGTGGCACAGGCGCTATGCTTCTTGGTGCCAATGGTTTCACCTCGGGAAACTTGGTTAGGTCTGCAACTCCAGTTTCGTCCTTCTTGAAGAGCTCTGATGTTGTTCACGTATGCCCCGTTGGGCCCTATGTCCTAGTTCTGTTCAAGAAAAGATTCCAAGGCGTGGCTCTCTTTGATCAGTTTAAACTGCCTGATCATTGCCCCTCGGTTATGAACAACAAACCCTTTATGCCATACATTGAACCCGTTGGCAACAAAAATCCAGCCAAGTTTGATGCAAACATCTCGTATTTGCCCAACTTAATGAATATCTCATCGAGGAACAAGCTGGTATATATAAATGTTGGAGCAGGGGAGCTCGTGGATGCAGCCATTACTAAAATGTTCAGTGCTCATTACCCTATTCCCCAGCACGCGTTAGATGTTTATGTCATCGATCACAACACCACTGCCCTCTCGTTGTATGTGAAAACTCCTGGCATCACATTCGTTTACCATCCAAAACTTGCGGGAGAGGAGACTGCACCGTCGTCCGCTAACTACACTGATGATTATCTTGGCGACGACAAAGACTTTGACTTTGTGCGCTGGTTCGATGAAACAGTGAACGATGGGGAGTTCGTGGTGCTTATGATGAATGCTCGGGCAGCAGAGTTGCAGATTCTCGACGACTTGTTCAGAACCGGATTGATATGCAGAGTTGATGAACTCTTCCTTCGCTGCTCGGATGCTGCAGTTTGGAAGCCTGCCAGGTGTGGCGACTGCACGAGCCTTTTCAAAGGTCTCAAAAACCGTGGCGTCTTTGCTCACTGGCTGGGAGAGTGACCTTGCCCAGCCTAGTCTCCTGGTTTCCTATGATCCTCCTATGTTTATGTTGGTTGAGAATAAGTACGAGGATATATGTTGTAGATTCTGATGTAATCTACCATCCTTGTCCATTGTATTGTGTGTGATTCTGTCTTTGTTGTATGTTCCTCTTGTGTGTTGCATGGAGGAAACATTTGCTGTGGTTTAATGTTATGCGTTTGTGGGAAAAACCAAAAATGGGGTATTCTTTATCTTTATTCGAATCCATTTTATACCAATGGCCTCCAATCAAAATAACGTTTTAAAATGACCATTAACGTACTAAATTTTCAACTCCAACCACTACCATGTCCCTAAATAAAGCTAGAAAATTGTGGAATGCATCATAATCAGGAAGATATTCACCGTGACTATTTTGACATGTAATTACTAGTTAAATTTTAATGCGAAGACCTTGTTGGACTGACTAATCGAGATTTTGAGAGGATATTAAGAATGAGAAGACATCAAACTCGTGACCTTTGTGGGATTGACTTATCGAGATTTTGAGAGGATATTAGGAATGAGAAGGCATCAAACTCGTGACCTTTGTGGGATTGACTTAATCGAAATTTTGAGAGGATATTAGGAATGAGAAGACATCAAACCCGTGACCTCTGTGGGATTGACTTAATCAAGATTTTGAGAGGATATTAGGAATGAGAAGAAATCAAACCCGCGTGACCTTTGTGGGATTGACTTAATCGAGATTTTGAGAGGATATTAGAAATGAGAAGACATCAAACTCGTGATCTTTGTGGGATTGACTTAATCGAGATTTTGAGAGGATATTAGGAATGAGAAGACATCAAACCCGTGATCTCTATGAGATTGACTTAATCGAGATTTTGAGAGGATATTAGGAATGAGAAGACATAAAACCCGTGACCTTTGTGGGATTGACTTAATCGAAATTTTGAAGGAATATTAAGAATGAGAAGACATCAAACTCGTGACCTTTTAAAAAGACTGTTAACAGAGATCAAATTCTTGACCTTTTAAACATGAGAATTAAATTTCATTCACTCGATCATACATTTTAGGCTATGAGACCATTTTGACTTTATACAAAAACTAGTACTATATATTTGGTGTTTGGATTTTCATGTTAAGCTAGTTGTTTAATAAAAAATTTCACTTTAAACAAGGTTTGTCTTGCAGAGGTTTTTTTTTTTTTTTTTTGCAAGTGATAACAATATAAGGAAAATGACACTCCTGAATTATATGTTTATAGCACATTTTTTTCTTGAATTATTTATGTAAGCATATTAGTCCTTTTAATTATTTTAAAAGTGACGATTTTTTTTCCTGATATATTAAATTGAAATTTCTACCCTTAAAGTAAATATTTTATTTATTTTTCTTCTCCAACAAATTATTGCTTATATGTAGGGATGATCACAGTTCGGTTCGAACTGAACCAGACACTATAGCAATCGAATTGAAAGTTTCCGATTATGATTCTGATCCAGAACCCAATATTTGGATTTCAGTTTATTAAAATTATGAATTGAAAAAACTGGATTCTGAACCGTGAACCGACGGTTTCGGATCCGGTTCGCGATTTTGAACCGTCTTTATTTTAAAATTATATTTTTTATTTTAAAATAGTCTAAATTCAACAATAAATGTATTATATTTTTTTTCAGTTCGGAACATAAATTGACCGTTTCGATTCGCGATTTTAATAAACTCTAAATATCGGGTTTCGATTCTAAATTGTAATTGAAATATGTGAGTTTGGTTGCTATAGTGTCTATTCGATTTGAACTAAATCGTGGTCATAATTTATTGGAGAAGAAAAATAAATGAAATATTTATTTTTTATGTCCATTTAACATTTTAGGAGATAAAACAACCACTTAAATCATTTAAGAGAAAAAAAAATACTATAATTATATAACTCAAGGAAAAAAAAAGGTGCTATTTTCCCTAACAATATACAAGATTATTGGAGTCAAGTAGGTCAAATGAAAGGTCGTCATCATTATCAAGTTTGTTACCTTGGGTAAAAAAAAATGCAATTTTCTTGGGAACATGAATCAACTAATCATAGTCAATGGCAAAGAGTAATCTCAACAATTACAGTTGGGTGTTGCTATTTGCACTCCTCTTGGACCAAAATGTGATAAAAAATACATTGAAAATATAAAAAGTTAAAAACTTATAATAAATACATAGGTGGTGCAAATAACTTAATGAGTGATCAAAATGCTATAATTGCACAACCCTAATTAAATCACATTTATTAGGTTTAAATAATAATTAATTAATTCAAAATTTAAAAAAAAAAAAATCCCGCCTTCGGTGCCTTCTCACCGGAGAAGGCAAACCAGTTGCCTTCTCCAGTGAGAAGGCAACCCACTGGGCTGCCTTCTCAGTGGAGAAGGCTACATGGGTCGCCTTCTCCGGTGAGAAGGCGGCCCCTGGGTTGCCTTCTCACCAGTTGTCTTCTCCGGTGAGAAGGCATGTCCATCGCCTTCTCACCGTAGAAGGCTTCCTTCGTTTTTTTTTTTTTTTTTTTTTTTTTTTTTTTTTTTTTTTTTTTTTTAAGCAACCCACTGGGGTGCCTTCTCACCGGAGAAGGCAGCCCAATTGTCTTCCCCTGTGAGAAGGCAGTCCCCTTCCCCGGAGAAGGTGAAGGGCGGTGTTTTTTTTTTCTTTTTTTTTTTTAAACAACCCACTGGGTTGCCTTCTCACCGGAGAAGGCAGCCCAATTGCCTTCTCCGGTGAGAAAGCAGAGAAGGTGGCGGGCGGTGTTCTTTTTTTTTTTTTTTTTTTTTTTTTAACAATCCACTGGGTTACCTTCTCACCGGAGAAGGTGACGGGCAGTGTTCTTTTTTTTTTTTTTTTTAAATTTTAATAATTTTAATTTAAAAAAATGAAAAACAAAGAATAATCTTTGACCATATTTAATGCATGTGGTGTAAATAGCAAATTTGCATTTACAACACCCACAAAGCTATTTAACCTACTAAATAGGTGGTGCAAATAGCAAAATAGGTGGTGTAAATAGAATTTCCCTTACAGTTTTTGTGAACCCTAATCGCAACATTCATTATCACACCCAATCTCAAAAACATTTATTCACAATAATTTAATTTCTTTTTTAATTTTTTTTATAAACACACCAATTTACAAAAATCATATAACAATTAAATAAATAATTATTTATTTATTTATTTATGATCATTCTAAAAATTATAATTATAATTATTATTTATATTTAAATTAAACAATAATTTTAATTAATTCGGGATGCGTTTATGCACAGGTGGAGGATGGGAGTGGTACGCCAGACTGAGGGTGGCGGTGTGACGTGGACGCGGCCATCGGTGGGGTGGTGGAAGTTTAATGTTGACGGTTATTTTAAGGCGGAGAGCAACAAAGCTGGCTTTGGGGGAGTGCTTCGGGACCAGTTTGGGCAGTGGATCGAGGGGTTCACGCACAACATAGGATCATGTTCGATTGATGAAGCGGAAGCCTGGGCAATGCTTGTGGGGATGTGAATGGCGGCAAAGCGGGGAGCTGGAAGATCACGGTGGAGAGCGACTCGCTGAGTACTATCAATTGCGTGAGGAGGATCCGTAGAGTTGGGATAGGAAGTAACATCGTGCGCCTCTGTGTCAAGGAGATTAGTAACTTTCAGGAGGTGGAGTTCAAACATGTAAAGAGAGAGTGTAACAAGGTTGCGGACAAACTTGCGTCGGCCGCTTTGGCGCATGGTCTAGGCACGCGGTTTCTCGAGCGTCAGCCGTCGTATGTTGAAGATATCATTTGGGAGGATAGGGTTGGTGCGAGGCATAGTAATGGAGCGTCCTAGTTGGGTCGTTCCTTCCGGGTTTTATGCCCTCTTTTCAGTTCCATTTTTTTTAATTAATTATAATTAATTTATATAAATTTTTAATGCAATTAATTTATACAAAAATCATATAGCAATTTAATTTAATTGATAATTATAAAATTTAAATTAAAATAATATGTTATTAAAATTATATATTACATTAAAAAATTATATTGCATAAATTATAAAAAAAATTATAAGAATATTAAATAAGAAAAAATATTAAAAATAAAAATCTTTTTTTAAAAAGCTTGCGTTGCTTAATGCAATAGCCATAAAAAAAAAAGCATACATTCAACTGGCAGCCACTTTGAAGCGTCCACTAGACGCAGGGGTGCACTTAAGTACAATATATATATATATATATATATATATATATATATATATATATATATATATATATATCCACAAAAAACTTTCACTTTTGTAGGAGTAAAAATCTCCAAAAACTCACTCCCATCAGTAAAAATAAATTCAAGCATTAGTTTTTGTGTTTGTAAAAAACCTCTAAAAAAAGCTTTGATAGGGTTGCTATAATTTTTTAAAATTGGGGTTTTCGTCAGCTTTTCAGGAGGAAGTGAAAAAAGAAAAAAAAATAGAAAAGATAGGTGAATGTTAGTTGCCACTTGATGTGCGTATAGTACTCATCTCGCTCAAGGAATTTTTATTTTATTAGTTCCTCCTTAAGAGCTACGATTTACTGACAAATAAAAAAAATACCTCCATTCCTTTTTCCTCCACATATGTAAAAACTTCACTAGAAACCCCTCCATGAGAAAGCTCTAAGACTCTATATCTTTTGATTTTTGGACTAATATAATTGCAAAATTATCATTGATTTGTGTGACTTTTGGCCAAAAAAACTAGCAAGCCTGGTAAAATGAATCTGTTAAATTGGGCTTAATAATGTAAGTACACTTTTAAATATTCATGTGTGATTGCATTGATTTTTAATGCTTTGACATGTTGAAAAAAATGGCTTGTAATCTGTAATACATTTGAGATACAACAATTATACAGAATACAACAGGGAACAAAAACTGGATCATTTGATATCTTCAGGCGTGTAATCACTTTCCTATAAGCTTTAAATCTCCTCCTATAAAAGCAACAAGGTTCAAGATTTAATCTTATG